ACACACACCATATTCCCCAGGCCCCCAAACAACTATTGTCAGCCAGAAAGAGTCTAGGCTATTGAAAGAAGTCAAGTCCAGATGCTGAAGCTTCTTGGGCCATTCTTCATTCTGTCTCCTTTTATAAGCAGCACTGCAGCCCACACCCTGGGACTAAAGGCCTTTTCCTTTTTTGGACTTCTTTTCTACTTTCTTGGCCTTCTGTCCTTTCAGACACACGGGTACAACTGAACCACTGGTTTTTCATGCCATCCCCTTTGGTTCTTCTTTTCTCTGCTGCAGCAGTACTTCCTTTTTGCAGCTGCTTCTCCTCTCAGGCTGCCTGCCTTGGGTAGCTTCTCTTCCAATGCTGGCTGCAGCTGGCAAGGCAATCTCCATATTTCACCCTAGCTTTGATGATGATGATGATGATGATGATAAATTCTATTCATTTCTTTATTCAATTCAAACTCAAAACAACTCTGGGTGGCTCATGATACACCAAAACAATATAAAAACAATCTAAAATAGAACAAAACAACAGAACCAGACTGGAACAAAGAAAAATAAAGAACAGGATGATGAACCCAACAAATGCCCAAACATCCTGCCAACTACTAACATCCCACAAAGGGGGCACCAACCACTTAAGCCAAAGGCCTGGGAGAAGAGCCAGATCTTTTGGGCTCTCTGGAATGCCAACAGGGTCACACGAGGAACCTCATTCCAAAAGGCAGACGCTGAGACAGAAAAGCCCTGCTTCCAGGGTCCTGACCAGTGACATTGTTTAATGGAAGGAAGCTGGAGCACACCAACCCTCTCAGCTCCCATTGGTTGGTCGATACCACAGAAGATAGGCAGTCCCTCAAATAACTGGGCCCCATAACATGTAGGGCTTGTTAGACCATAAAGGTCTTAAATCACAGCTGCCACCTGCTCATTGAGTAGGAATTGTAAGCCCATGAAGACCCCAAAATGGTGTGTCACCCTTGAATGGGGAAGAGCAACCCATCCAACACCAAAGATGGAATATCCCCAGAAGCAGGGGAGCCCAGGCCCAACAGCCACTTAGTCTTGGTAGGATTGAGTCAGAGATGGTTCCTCTCCATCCAGGTTCACACAGTGTCTAGGCACTGGGACAGGACTTTGACGTCCTCACTTGGCTGGTCAGAGGTTGAAAGATACAATTGGGTATCATTAGCATAATGATGATACCAAATCCCAAACAGATGGATTACTTCCCCCAGTGGTTTTATCCAGATGGTGAATAGGCGTGGGAGAGAGGGTCAAACATTTTGGCACCCCACCAAGCAAGGACCTAGGGCATTTCCAACCAACACTGACTGGAACCAGCCCTCAAGAAATTAAGAGAACCACTATAAAAAGATGCGCCCTATTTCCAACTCCTGGAATTGGTCCAAAATATTGGTCAACAATATTGAAAGCTGCTGAGAAATTAAGGAGCTCAAAGAGGGATGGGCCTCCTCCATCCCAGCTCCACGACAGGTTGTTTACAAGTGTAACCAAGGCTATCTCCATCCTAAATCCCAGCCTGAAACCCAACTGAAATGTGTCTAGATAATCCGCTTCCTCCAGGGAACCTGCAGTCCCACCGAAGGTGTTTCTCAACCACCTTCTCCGAAAGAGAAGGTTGGAGACAGAGCGATAGTCTGGTTTGCTTTCTTTTGGTCTCGGGCTTTCTCAGGACCTGCGTATCTGTGGGGTGCCTTCTCCCAGTGGCTTCTGCCCAACCAATAAATGAGGAAGGGTGGTCTCTCTCCTCCTCCCATCTCTTACCTATGTGGCCATACTTTTTACTGCTTATATTAGTTTGAGGTGGAGAGTATTTTGCCTATTCATCTGCACTTCCACGACTATCCACAAGTAACTTTCACCTGTTTGAGGTATCAAAATGTGTTTGCTGCCACATTGCTATTCCTAGGAAAGTATGAATTTCTCAGTGTTGATCTTCTCCTTCTACTTGACCCAGTGTGACCTTAAATATTGGATTGATTGATTGATTGATTGATTGATTGATTGATTTACAGAAAACACCAGGCTGTGGGAAGATACTGCAGTGAATATGGCCAAGCATTATCTTTCTCAACTGGTAGAAATTTGGCAGCAATTCAGGAAGGACTTTTCTCTCCCCCACCTTGACAGGGCAAGCGGTGAGGCTGGGATCTTTTGCAATCATAGCAGGTTAGCCGTTCAACTGAGTCCCTTGTTCTTCCAAGGACTTTTGCAAAAGCAAACCCACAGAGTGTTTCAATAGAAGGAAGATGCAATAATGCCTTATGTAAGAATAGTAAAAGTAACTCCTAAGAACATTTGCAATAATTCCCTCAGGGCATATGATGCAATCATTATGACCCTATAAACAGAGAGCTGTGTCCTGTCCAGAAGCAAGATTTGGTCCAGAACCAATCCCAACATGAAGATCCTTTATCTGCTCTTCGCATCCCTTCTCCTTGCATTCCTGCCTGAACCAGGTAAGAAACTAAATTGCTGATCGTTTAGAAAGGACTGATAACTCACTTCTTTATAAACAAGTATGATCATCTTTGAAAGCAGGATAATCTACATCTTTGTTGGGTCTACCATTCAGTCCTGAGCCAGGATTTGTCACAAGTTTAAGGAATGGACTTCTGGAATTAGAGCTTCATTTTTTAGCTAAAATATCTTTATAACTTTAGACATGCATATCAGTTGAATGAAGGGACTTTGGGATATCATTAATGTACAAATTAAACAAAATGGGGGCCAGTATATATCTTTGTCTGACCCTTTTGTTGGTACTAATTATTCCTGTCAGGGAACTATAAGCATGAGTTTGAATATAATGCCTTGATTAAAGAGAGGAGAATAAAATCCATGCTCAGGACTGGAAGTTTCTTCCAAAGAAGGTCCCTATCTATTGAATCAAATGTATTGAATCAAACCAGACCTAAATCCAACTTGCTTTTTGGGTAGCAAGCCCTTTTCAGTTACCCAGTCCTCAATCTTGTATAACAGATATTTGGCATACAATTTTGCTACAATATCAATTAGATTAATTGGTCTCTACTTCGAGGGATCGCATCTATCACCCTTTTTGT